GGCCAGGGGGTCTTCACTTTAAAAAAATTAGATTTTTCAAAAAAATAAATCTTCATAAACAAAAATTGGATGAATTGATTTAATCAATTCATTTCTCAAATGGATTGCATCAATGAACTGACCAGCCCAAGCATCCACCATCACTCGCCCTGGGATACGTGGCCATGGAGTCGCAGCTTCCTGTTTACAAACAGCTGTTGGACCCGGTATGATGAGGGGGCTGTGTTTCTGGTGTGGCTGAGGCTTGGTGGTTGTGTTGATGTTGCAACCAGAACCGTGGTGTTGCTATGACATGTCAGACAGGAAGACCGGGCTGGCTCGGCCCTCATGCCTCTGATCTGCACGTTATCTTGTTTTTACTTTGACTTTTATCTCTCAGAAGATGACCTCAATGTTTTCTTGCCTTTTTAACAGTTTAGTTTCACCTACTTCATTATATACTTTCTCCTTCTTGGTTTCCACTCTCTGTTTCCTTCTTACCACTTAACTTTCCTTTCTCTTATGTTAATTTTTCTTTTATTAAGGATCAAACTGCAAACCTGAAATCTAAGGTAGTCAGTTTTTTTCTTGGAATTGGTGAATTTTCCATTGATTTAATAGAATAAGTAACATAATTTGCAAAAACTTAATCTTATCTCAAGTTTTTTATTTATATTTAGATTATTATTTGCTTTATTGTCTCTCTTTTTATGTCACCATCCTTTTGTCTATAGTTTAATTCTGTATTTCAACCTTAGATTTAATACACTTTGCTGTTAATTCTCATCTATTTACATTTTTTTATATATATTTATATATATTTTGTCCTTTTCATCTCAGTTCTGCTATTTGTTCATATCCTCGGGTAACTGAGGACTTTTCTGGTTTAGCTTCAGAATCTAGATAGAAAACGTGAATCTGAATGATCGTCTCAGAGAACTGCCGGCAGGAAGTGAAAGTTTTTTTCTTTTAGAAAGCGCCTCACAGTAACCAGCTTCTTGCTCTGCGTCGCATCACCGCCTCCTTCAGCTCCTTTTCCCTCTGTGTGCCTCAGGACGATGGACGGAGGGAACGAGGTCGGGGAGGTGAGGGTGTCCCGTCTGCAGGTGGAGGAAGAGACGGAGGAGCATGCTTTGGAAAACAGGGTGAAGGAAGATGAATGTTTTTTTTTGTTTCTCTCAGTGCTTGTGGGTGCTCCGATGTCATTTTCACACTGCTGTACAGTTTCCTCTGGCATTTTTTTGTGGTGTTATTTTGGTGTCAGAGTCATGGGTCATTGTACATGTTAGTGTATATAGAGGACAGTAAGATAATTTGAGAATAATTAGACGTAGGAGTATTTTTCTTCATGATTCTGTCTTCTTCTTGCCTCAGAGCTCAGTGTTGTGTGATGCTCTGCACGGCTCCGTCCAGGACAAAGAACACAGTCCCATGATGAGAGCTGGTGAGACTGAGTCTGAGCTGATGTTTCCATGTCCTCCTCCCTCCCTCTAACCGTAACATCTGTATCCGTGTGCAGCCCTGTGCTCTCAGGTGTGTAAGGTGTACAGGTTTCAGACGGAGGACCACAGGTGGCTGCTGGTGCGGGAACAGATGTCAGAAACGCCGCTGTCCTTCTCTTTACCCAAACAGCTACTGAGTTCGCTCATTAAGGAGCACACAGACAGGTAGGTAAACCAGCTCTGAAAGCAACTTGTTTATATGCTCTCTGACTTTATTTTGAGTTCATCTTATGGCTTAATGATATCCGTCTAATTCATGTGAGAGAAAACGAAGATCTTTATGTGAGAAAGAAAGCCAAGATATATGAGAAACGGTCCTAATTGTTTATATTTTCTAAAAT